TAGGGGACCTGTCCTTTCAAGATGGAGCCCCTAGATTGTGGACCACCCTGCCCCTGTTGTTCAGACAAGTGTTAGGTACATGGATTACTTTAAAGTTTTATTAGTCACATTAACTTGTTTTATTTTATGCTTTTGTGCTCTTATTGTAAGTTTGTGTTTATTTCAGTTTTCATCCTTGTGAAGCAGTTTGTTATGTCTATCTGTGAAAAGTGGTACAAATAACGTTGACATACTTACTTGACCTACTGTCATGCATTCAGTGACAGGAAGAGCTGGTCAAAACAAAAACTGCCCCTCTGTCACCAACCAACTATACATGATGTAATACCTCATTAAATGCAATTTAAAATAATACACTAGATGAATAAAACTGTATTGTCTTGCTTGAACACTGATGCACCGTCACACCAGACTTTATTAAGGTCACTACTTCAGCTGCTTTTAAACTTTTCTATGGTCTCTTTTTGCTTGTTGTTTTATAGCATTGAACTGTAGTTGGAGTGAAAACAAAGAAATGTATCTGTAGCATCACATTTTTGAAAGAAAACATTACTAATATGTTGCAAAACAACAAATGTTGAGATATGTGCATGCACAATAACAGGAAGTGATGACAGAGGGGAACGCCTGCTTGTACAACAGAGCATGTCACAATGGCCAACAACTTAGACAATAGTGAAGAATGATAACATTCAATGTTGTGTCAATAAACAAACCAGGGAGTTCCTATTTTTAAAGAGTTCTCCGTCGACGTCACTTCCTGTTTAACTTTGGACGCGCCAAGTACCAAAGTTAAGATGCCAGTTTTGTCACAAAATGGGTAAAATACGGAAGAGGCTTAAGTCCACAGAGAAAAAAAAGTCACACATTTTTCTCAGAATTCAAAATTCTGAGAAAAAAAAGTCACACATTTTTCTCAGAATTCAAAATTCTGAGGTAAAATCAGAATTCTGAGAGAAAGGTCAGAACTCAGGGAAAAAACATTTTTTTGCCTTAAATTATGCTTATTATGCCAAAATGTTTCCACTTTTCATACTTGTTTAAAAACACAGGTATTTTAATATATTAATCTGTGAGCTTTCAATACTCTTATTTCTTGTTTAGGTTCAAACGCTTCTCTAAAATAACATTTAAATTTGGGTGTATTCTAGAAGCTGTAGATGCCTAATACTAATTTGCTTTCCACTCATTTTTTAGGGTTGTATATATTGGTACTGTATACATCGATAATTTTAAAAACAATATTGTATAGATTTTCTTTCTTTAAATATGTAATACATCCCACAACCCTTAGGGGGCAGTAAAATGATGCATAATTCATGTTTAGACGAGGAACAACAAACTGCAAGTGAGATTGATGAGTGACTGAAGTGGTCAGCAGTATCCTGAAAGCACCTTCGACTTTAAAAGCAGATGTTTGGACACATTTTCTTGTTTATAATTGTAAATATATAATCTAATTTTATAATATTTGTTGGTTTTGTTGAGTCAGTGGCATTGAGCAATAAGTAAAATGTATCAATACTGAAATCAAAGCGAGTCGAGCTGCGCTGTATTGAAAATCGTATTGAATCACCATGTTCTAGGTGATATGCAGCCCTATCATTTAAAATGGTTGAAAGCTAAAATCTTTTTGTTGTTTTTGGTGTTGTTTGTTTTCTTTTTTAACAATGAAATACAAAAATAACCCATATTTATCAATGAAACTGATACAAGCTCCCTGTCTTCTTTGTGTTTTCTGTTTCAGCTTTAGCTTTCTCTATCTTGTTCCTTGTTTCTGTTCTCCTCACTGTGGTTCTGCACATTAACGCCACTCGTTTCTCTGGTATTTTTGTGAAAATGCTAAATCGTTGGGTTTTGTTTCAAAGCACTTTTTATTCATAAAAAACTTCAGGAAACTACTCTGTACAGGCTGTGCATGTATTTTGATTATAATAACAAGAAATGTCAAATTATTTTGAATAGCTTTCTGTATTGTTGTTGCCTAATTATCTAACATAAAGTATTTTAACGTGTCTTCATTGTCTCACATTTTGTGAAATTATCAAATCATTTTTAAAACATTAATGTGATGAAGGCTTTAATTGGAACTTAGTTTTCTTTGTAAATTATTTTTATTTTAATTATTTTTGTATTTTGCTTAATTTATTCCATTCTTATACTGTATTTCCTTTTCCCAGTTGTTTTGATTTATCCCTTCTTAACTATCTTTTTATTTGTCTTCAGTTTTATTTTTTAGTGTTTTATCATGTTGTTATGGACATTGTTTTCCCTAAAGCAACAGTTTGGATATTTAGAAGTGGGGTTATGTGGAAAGAGTATGAACAAATAATATCTTACCTGTTAAGGGTAGAAATATTCAGGCACCTCATAATATGCATTTAGGATTTTCTTAAAACTTATATATTTTACTTATTTTGCATAAACTGTTTTAAATTTTTTATGCATAATGAAGAGTACACCATAACATATTTTAACACCCTACTAATCACAGGTTGCTGACAGCAATGAGCACTGATGCTAACATATCATTGAAAACGTCTTAGAACAGCTAACACGATTAGCTTAATTTTTAACTTTGAAAATTTAAGCATAAATCAAATGTTATAAAGTCATCAGTGAAGATATTTATGTTATAACTTGAGATAATATTTACAGATGGAAATTCTTTGGCGATGAAAAATGAAAACGATGTGAAAACAAACTGCTTTACTGCAACAAGTTTCTACTGTAGGACATTACATTAACAGTGGGACAAACGACAGCAAAAACCCTGAAATAATACACCCTGCTGACTAAAGTGGCAGCACAGATTGTCAACAACAAAAAAAAGATTTCTGACAATTGTCAGTTTCACTTTCACAATTATTTCAGCCAAGTTATGTCAATATTCCTGCAGGAAGTGCCCCTAAGCTGCACTAGACATGTTTTTGTTTTAGTCAGCTAATGCTCACACTGTTTGTAAGCAGATAACCAGTGTTTTTAGTAAATAATCATATAATCCAAAACAACTCATGCAGTTTTATAAAATGATGTTCCTGTAAACCAGTAGCAAATCTTTGAGAATGAAGTTGTTTTTTGGTGTCAGCCCTTCACATCAGTCCAAACACAATTCACCTTTTTCTCTCCAAACTCAGTTCATTCAGACCTATCATCAACAGGTAAGATATTGATTGTTCACTGCTTTTTCAAAGAGGATGACATTGTTTTCTGTAGGGTGACTCCATTTCTTGACATCTTAAAGGGGATCAGGTTGACTGTAAAAATTCATCATTTGTAGATGTTCATCCAATGATTATTAAAATCAGTCCGGTGGTTCATGAGATATCTTTCTAACACAACAGTCAAATAAATGCAGACAGGAAAAAACATGATCAGCTTTTCAGTGATTTGGTAATAATGAATGGTTAAACAGTCACATCTATCCTCTCAGCTAACAGAGTGCGCTGTAAATACACAGGTGGTGCTTGATAAACACGAGGTGCTGTATTTAAAGGGGACCTATTATGCAAAATTCACTTTTTAAAGGTTTTTTTACTCAACTTTGCGCATGTACTTCTTAAAAAAACAATCCTAGGACCAAAAAAATGCACCCAGCGGCATATTTACTGTAAGTAAATGTATTTTTAATGTGTATTAACGACAAGTTGTATACTTCTGTCATTTTGTGATGTCACAAGCCGTACGACAACCCACCAGAACCTGCGTTCAGCCTCTTCCCTAGCAACCCCCAGGTGAGGCTTCACCTTCTCAATATAAAAAGCCGTCATGGTTGTTGTGTAATGTGCAGCTCAGTTCATAACAAGCCTCTGATAGGGCAATGGGTTGAGTGTCAGACTAGAGAGTGGGAGACCAGGGTTCGAAATCGGCATGGACACAATTTAATTGTTTATTTATTTTCGTTCGTTATGAACACGTTTTCTCATGTACCTCTATTGTTTAGCTTATTAAAGCCTTGTTAAAGCCTATTTGTTCGAGTTTCTGAGGTATTTTGACCGCTGCTGCTCCCTGCTCTGGRAACAGCATGCAGAGTGAGCGCAGAGCAGAGGAGGGAGAGAAAAAAAAGAAGAAGCTGCGACCGACTCTGCCTCTGGGTCTCACAGGGTCTCATATGGTTGTACAACGGCGCTTCTGCTATTATTTGCCATGCTAACGTAAACGCTGGCTTTGGAGGGCGGAGTTAATGTCAACAGATTTTTGGAGGGCGTAACCAACAGAGCTCATTAACATAAACAGCTCTAAAGTCCGAGAAGGCAGAACTAGAAAATGGGAAATTTTATTATCTGAGAATTATTTTGTGCATTAAATTGAATGAACATGGTCTGGATAGCCCACAGACATACCATAAACATTTCTAGGACCCATAATTGGTCTCCTTCAACAAATCATCCGCCACAAATTAAATAGAAGCTGCAACAACTTTTTTTTCTATCCTGCTTTGAAAACCTGAGTTAATTTTTTGGGAGATGACTCATAAACTTTACAGCCATGATGGGAATGTGAATTTGAACTGTTTAGTGACACTTAAGAAATCACACCAGCACACACAAAACTAATGATTATATTCTTAATCCTCTCTGAAAGACATTTTTAAATCTTTAGGGTACAAAATAAGTTGAATTAATTGTTGGGGATCTTTTAAGCTCCTGGATGTTTTGGTTTTTGTAGATTGGATTCATTATTATTATTTTTTTACTTGTCCTCTTCATCTTTTATCCTTTTTCTTTCCTCTTTTTACTCTTAATACGTTTCCTTAATGTTCCTTTGTAATTGTTGTTTCTTTATTATTGTGAACTTTGTGTGTTTGTAATTTGCACCGATAAAATAAATAATAATTTAGACTGAAAAATGTTTGTTGTGTCCAGAGTTGGTTATCATGGCATTTCTACAGTCAGTAGAGAAACAGGAAGTCCCTTTCAGAAAAATACAATTTAAAACAAAAAAGCATCATTGTAAAAAGATGATCAAAACTCAACATTCAATGTCTTCTGTTTATTCAGAGAAGATGGAGCGTTGATCGGGTCAGTCGTGGATCTGCACAGGAAGAGGACTGCGTCACATGGGAGTGTGTGTATGTGCGTGTGAGGGTATACGTTCGGGCCTCCCACCATCGCCTGCTCTTCCCAGTCCGGCATGGCGGGGGTCAGAGAGCGCGGCTCGCAGAGACCGCGGCCGTGGTCCGTGTACCGGGCCAACACGTTCGAGCTGTCCAGCGAGATGATCGGATTGGCTCTCGCAGGTGAGAGGTGGCCTATGTTCAAAAACAGTCTAAAGGTCCACACTTCTTTATATAAAAAACTGCGAACATTTAATTTTATTTGACCTGTTTGGTTTACAGGAAATATTCAGGACCCAGATGAACCCGTGCTGGAGCTCAGTGTTGGTGAGTTCAGCTAATTTATTTCAGCTGTTGTAATCATTTAGATTTATTTATGTAATCATTGATTTACCTTTATGTAAAAGAACATAAGCATTTATTAGGAT